TTAGACAATAAAACAACAATTCTTCTTTATTATTGTTTTCTTTGAAAAACAAAAGATGACTTAAGTCCAATGAACCGAGATTTGATTAATAAAAAAAAAAAAAAAAAACAGTTTTATTCTATTTTTATATCATATTTTTCTTTTCACTTCTGATGTCAAATCTAGGAATGGTGTAGTCTTTGTGCTGTATTTGGAATCATTGCTTTAGAGCTGTCAAAAATGAGAATAGATTTGGTGGAAAAGATTGGCTTGTTCATGTTTGTTTTTGATTGTCATGTTATTTGTGAAATTTGGAGAATTTCTTTTGCATGCTTCCTTCCTATTTTTCCTAAAACTATGCTAAAAAATTACTCAATTGATAATTCAAATCCATTTTAATTTGTCTGAATTTGGACCTTCATCCACATATCCCTGCAGGTGAAGATCGGGCTTCGTGTTCTCACCCGCCCTGTGGCTGATCAGTTACCTACAATTTATAGGACCCTTGGTGAGAATTATAATGAGAGAGTTCTGCCTTCAATCATTCATGAAACTTTGAAAGCTGTGGTAGCACAGTACAATGCCAGCCAGCTCATTACTCAGAGAGAGGTTGGCAGACATTGTTCTTGTTGATGGTTTTATATCCATGCTTATTAAAGCATTATAATCTTCTGGAGCTTATACTGAAGATTTGAAAATTTGATTTTATAGGCTGTCAGCAGGGAAATAAGGAAGATCTTGACAGAGCGGGCAGCCTATTTCAACATTGCACTTGATGATGTGTCCATCACAAGCTTGACTTTTGGAAAGGAATTTACAGCTGCAATTGAGGCCAAACAAGTGGCTGCTCAAGAAGCTGAGAGAGCAAAGTTTATTGTGGAGAAGGCTGAACAGGACAAAAAGAGTGCTGTTATCCGAGCACAGGTAAAGATTTGGTCCTTGTGTTTTGTGCAAGTCATGAACTCTTTCACATCATGTACAAAAGATATATATAGGTCACTCATTTTCTGGAAATAATGAGCATCAAAAACTCCCAGCATGGGTTGTGGATGATTAGCTTGCACTTGAAAATTGTCATTAACTGCATCCTTTGCTGTGGAGTTATAGTTGGTTGAATTCATCAACATTTCTTTTCTTGAGCTTTTCTGACTCTAGTTATTGCACTTTAGGATGTTAGCAGACCTTCGTGGCATATGTTTTTCTCCTTAAAAGATACCTATCAATGTTCTTGTGAACAATTGTTAATAGACGTCTCTTCAGTGTATTTTGCTACTTGCAAAAGAATCTGCACCCTCTTTTTTCATTATATGGGATGATCCATTTATCCTTCTAATCACTATCACTTTCTTTGGTTGTCAGGGTGAAGCCAAAAGTGCCCAGCTCATTGGTCAAGCTATCGCAAACAATCCTGCTTTCATCACACTGCGGAAGATTGAAGCTGCAAGAGAAATTGCTCAGACCATTGCAAATTCTGCCAACAAGGTTTTCTTGAACTCGGACGATCTGTTGCTGAACCTTCAGGAGATGAATCTTGAGAGCGCAAAGAAATAGGCAAACATCAGCTTAAAACTCAGCTACTCCCCCCTGGTGGTTTTGTTTATCATTTTTAAATTTGCATGGAATAGTTCTGAAAATAACAAGCACTGACTCAAGCACATAGGTATTTATCTTTTCAAAGATCATTGGAAATGAGGGAGAGTTTATATATCATCACTTAGAGTCTGACTTTGTGAATGCTTAATTGGTATGCCCTCTTGTTATGAAGTTTATTGCCTTTGGAAATCGAAATTCCATATTCAATTTATCGTTCCACTATGATCTGAAAGGGGAGGTTAATAGTCAAAGAAAGTGGATTTTTCCCTTTTGACAAAAACAATTACGGAAGGTTAGTTTCACGTGTTAGACCATGGAAAGAAATACTGTTTAAATTTCGGCAGAAACTTCTTTTAGTCTTTTTTTAACTAACTTTTTTTTTTTTTTAAGTTGTATTGAGTTTCAATTAATTTAAAATTAAATTGTATCGAATCTTATAAAAAAAGAACTTTTTAAATATTTATTTTTTTATTTATAAAATTTAAATTAAAGAGAACTGATTTCTTTTTATTTAAATTAACATGTTAATAATATTTCTTTTGTTAAATACAAGGCATTGTTTGGTTTGAATTGAATGTCGTTTTTCCTTTCATCTCAACAGGATCATTGAGTTGTGGTCATGCCTACACAAACTTTTTTTTTTTTAATGGTTAGTTATAGTATTAAAAAATATTAGTATATAAATTAATTTTAATTTATTAATAATAAATATTAACTATTTCATTGTTTATTAATTAACAATTATAGCTACCAATGACATGTTAGTTTAAATAGAAAAAACTTGATTTTTTAAAATAAAACCTCAAATTTGAAACTTATAAAAGGAGAAATAAGAGTCGAGAGAATTTTTCTTCTATGAAATTTGAATCAACTCAATTTTAAATTAATTCAAGATCATCGTTGTCAAAAATTCAAAATCGGATGAAATTGAGATTTTACAAGTTTAAAAGGTGTATGAATTTTTATGTTATAATGCAACTAATAATCACCAACAATGCATTGGTGGAGCTTTGCTTGTGGATTATTTATGGGTTGCTAGGTGGTGGTTTGAATCTTGGCCATGTAATTTGACTTTTTTGGGTTTTCAAGTAAAAAATTCGAAGTTTTGTTAATTTTTTATAAGTTAAATTAACAATATTTTATTATGAAAATTTTTTAGGTGAAAATTATTGAAATTTAAAATAATTTAATAACTATGAAATAGAAAGATGTTCAAAGAATATTTAACATAATTAATTAGTAATTATACTTCTTAAATAAATTTTAAATTTAAACATTTGATGTTAAATTTTAGTAATATATAAATTTTAAATTAATTTAGTAAATTCTTGATTTTATTAATTCGATTTTACCTTATAAAACGATTTTACATAAACTCTCAATTTTAATAATTTTTAATCAGAATTTAATATGACTTTAAGATTGGAAGGGTTTAATATAAAAAAGAAAGTATAACTATCAATTATTTTGAATAGTTAAATGAAATAAAATTAAAATTTTTTAAAAAATAATATTTAAAAATTTACACATTATAAACATATAAAATCTTGACTATTTTCACTTTCAAAAATTGAGATTTATTATAATTTTTTAAATAAAAAATAATTATATTTAATAAATATAATAAAAATATATAAATCTTAATTATTAAAAATATAAAAATAAATTATTAAAATTTTATATAAATATAATATATAAAATTATTTATAAAGGAATTGCTCCTCAAAAATATTTGTGTAACACTAATAGTAATAATTTGTTCCGAGCCCACAACATATCCAGCTCATCGGCTCTTCTTTTCTTTTTTTTTTTTTTAGCACTTTCTTTGATTCAAGATTAGGTGGGCTTGAAAGAAGGGTTAAATGTCGGCACAAGCTGTCATCGACTTTCTTAATTTAAATTATATTTATTATTTAAAAAAAACCATTATTACTAACCCCATATAACTTAATAGTACTTCAACAAAATTCAGCCTTAATTATTATTTTTTAGCTTCCCATCAAAGTTCACCAATCATTTCCGAAATGATGATTAATCCAACTGTAGTTAGGAATAAATAAATCTGACCCCAGCTGAACTGGTTGAAATTTCCATATCCTGGCTTCTTCGACGGTCAGCCTGCACCACCACTCCCTCAAGTACTCATTACATGACATCTCACATTATTTATCTCAGACTTTGACCGTCCCAACCCCTTTCTTTAATGCTCCACGCCCATCTGGATATTTTTTCATTTATAGTTAGGTATGTCGGAATAAGCTTTTGTATATTTAAAAATTAGTATTTTTTTGAGTGATCTTAAAAATATATTTTATTA